GGAGGAGGCTGGAGGCAGCGACGAGCAGTCATCAATTGCCGACCTCGTCCACGATGCAGATCGACGGCAATCAGACGTTGATAGCCGGCACGCACAATCTTCACCTGGGCCATCACCCGGGCCTCACCATCCACGCCAACTCCTCGTCCTCCCTCAACCGTTACTCGCCCGCCAGCTCCTTGTCCCCGGACGATCACGGCTGCTCGCAGAGCGGCTCGCTGAGTCCGAACTCGCAAGGGTCGAGGGGTTACAGGTCGTTGCCGTACCCGTTGAAGAAGAAGGACGGCAAGATGCATTACGAGTGCAACGTGTGTTGCAAGACGTTCGGCCAACTGTCGAATCTCAAGGTACATCTGAGGACCCATTCCGGCGAGAGGCCGTTCAAGTGTAACGTTTGCACCAAGAGTTTCACGCAGCTGGCCCATCTGCAGAAGCATCATCTCGTCCACACCGGTAAGTGTAAAAGAAAAAAACTCCATGTTTTATGTTTTTACTCGAAGCTCGAGGCGCGGGTGATCGAGGTATACGTATACGTACATGTACACGTGCGCAGGTGAAAAGCCGCACCAATGCGAGATCTGCAAGAAGAGGTTCAGCTCGACCTCGAACCTCAAGACCCATCTGAGACTGCATTCCGGCCAAAAGCCCTACGCCTGTGACCTGTGCCCCGCCAAATTCACCCAGTTCGTTCACTTGAAGTTGCACAAGAGGTTACACACGAACGAAAGGCCTTACACCTGCCAAGGTTGCGACAAGAAGTACATCAGCGCGAGCGGACTTAGGACGCATTGGAAGACGACCAGTTGCAGGCCGAACAATATCGAGGATGAGCTCGCCCTTGCCGCGGCCGTTGGCTCGCCGACGTATTACGAGTACGGCCCGGATATGAACGTCGGTAAGTTCGATCTGGAGGAAAGATAGATAAATTTTATCATTGTATTCTATCCTGTCCTGTTGTTCGTTTAATCGGAGAATCGCGAACCCGGTGTTTCCAATCGATCGTAGAGGAGTTCTTTTCTTTCTTTGTTTTATTTCCTTTTTTTTTTTTTTTTTTTTCCCCTCTCTTTATTGAGAAGAGAACGTTGTTTCGATTTACAGGAAATATGCCGAAGGAATGCGAATTGGAGCACATCGATAATTACGAGAGGCACGGATCCACTCACGGCCCGCACTCCACGTCTCTCCACAACTTGGAGAATTCCGTGGGGCGGCCAAGCGTCATAGAGACCTCCCAGCCTCATATAATCGAGTGCACCTAAAAATGGGGGTATGAGCCCTTTCGCTCAAACGCAAAATCCAGCCGTGGAATAGTAAACGAGTTGCTCACGACAAACGAAAACGATGTTACCCTCGTGAGATGGCAGTGAGAGCCATACTCACGATTCCACGATTCCCTTCGAAATGGGAAAATCGGAGGAAAATGTTTTTCGAAAATGTGCTTTTCCTTCGTTTCACTCGTCGCGTGAGAAAAGCAGCGTGTAAGAGAAGAAACGTGTGCACAGAGATGATCGTCGTGACGCGATCGAAAATGTGAGTGAGATTACGTGCAACAAATCATTCGAAATTGTTGAAGGGAAAAAGGAGAAAAAAAAAAAAAAAGAAAAAGAAAGAAACTGTTGTTGCTTGGTTATTGTTAACGCGAAGGAATTCAAAGCTTTTAGTAGATAACACTTCTTGAAAGCTGGTTATACTTTTTACGTACGTCAAACGTAACGCGAAACGTAGTTCGATTTCTCTGACGAGGGTGGAAGAATCGACGAGATTCCAGCTACGAGCATACAAAAGTTCCTTCCTTGTAAATACTCGTTTCTATATTTTTTCTATGGTAGCGCCACCAACGAAAACGCGAATCAAGAGAGAAAGAAAGAAAGAAAGAAAGAAAGAAAGAAAAAAGGAGAGAGAAAGAAGAAACAAACGTGAAACAAACGTGAAACAAACGTGAAACAAAAAGTGGGACGAAATGAACGATAATAGGATTAATTATGTCTCGAGTCGTCACACGCTGCCATTTCCGGATAGAATCGAGAGAAAGCGAGTACCAAAGTCGTTCGAGCTTCTCGATTATCCTTCCACGGTCTATCCTAAATACGATGCTTAGAAAAGGTACCGTACTAACGCGGTACAATCGTTTTTTCTATTCTATATATATATATATATATATATATATACAAACCGCTAAAAAAAGAAAAAAGAGAGAGAGAGAGAGAGAAAAAAAGAAGAAACACTTCCACAAATACTTCCAACGTTCGGCCGATAAAACAGAAGATGGACAAACTCTCCAACGAGCAATTTCTAACTCTCTCTATCGCCACGCGTTCTAACGCGCCACGATGCACAGTTTGTACCTTTTTTATCATATAACGGATTAACGATAATTCGAACCCTTCGTCGTAACGCTTGGGACGTTGAAACGAATTTCGACCACATTTCCTGCAAAAGCAAACTGGACGTATATATATATTTTTTCCTTCTTCCTCGCGGTATCACGGTACCATTTTCTACGCGTTCGAGCTTAGGCGGTTTGAAAGTGAAAAATGAATGGCGGATTTTGTCGGCATCCGTCAGCGCATTCGCGGCAAACGCAACGCGCGGGGAAACATAGCGAGAGTAAAACGCGTTAAATGTTAAAACGAACAACCAGTGACGACACGACTGCAACTATACGAGACCTGTACCTGTATATACTAACATTTACTATTAATTATTCGATAATTTAAAGAAAAGGTAATAATATAAGGAGCTCTAATTTATGAATACCTTTATATATGTATATGTATAAAATCGTCGTCGGTTGGCGAAGAAGCACGGTAGGCTGCGCTCTACGATAATCTCTTTTTTAAATAGGGAGGAAATCTTTTCAGAAATTAGATAATTTATTACACGCGTACACGTAACTGTAGTTAAAAATGTTTAAAAAAAAAAAAAAAAAAAAAAAAGAACACGGGGGAAAAAAAGCTTTCGGTGATCGAGTATCTATATCTATATTTATACACATTCATATAAATATAAACATATACATATATATATATATAAAAATATATATATATACATATATATATATATTTTTTAGGCGTCCTTTTGTCGTGGAATTTTCGGAAAACGGAAAGCATAGTCTCTCGGTCCACGCGAACGAATATTATTTTTTTTTCCTTTCTTCCCCCCCGCCCTCGCCCCCTTTTTCTTTCCCCATCCCCATTTTCGAATTTTCCCTTTTCGCAACGCTATATATCTCTTCTCCTTTCCAGATCGATCGATTTTCAAAACTATCGTACCGACACACACACACACATACACACATACACACACACACACGTTTCTTTCGCATCGTCAATAGAGATAAATATAAAAAAAGACGTCAATAAAACGCGGTAACACGATAAGATAATTGGGAGAATCGTCGATTTTAATCATTACGATTCGATTTCGTTCGACGAAAAAAGAGAGAGAGAGAGAGAAAGAGAGAGCGCTTTATCTTTCTCGTCTTATCGCGATCGCGCACAAAGTTCGTTTACTCATCGTGACATGGAGTGCGATTAAAGAAGTTGATTAATTTCATGAGTGAATGAGTGAGTGAGTGAGTGAGTGAGTGAGTGAGAGAGTGAGTGAA